GAGGTGGTCCGACTGCACGGTGTACCTGTGTCCATCATTTCCGATCGGGACAGCAGATTCACTTCTAGGTTCTGGCAGTCACTACAGAAGGCTCTTGGAACTAAGCTGGATATGAGCACAGCTTACCATCCTCAAACAGATGGACAGAGTGAGAGAACCATCCAAACCTTGGAAGACATGCTGAGAGCCTGCGTCATCGACTTCGGCGCGTCATGGGATACTCATCTTCCTTTGGTTGAATTTTCTTATAACAACAACTATCATACCAGCATCAAGGCTGCGCCTTTCGAAGCCCTCTATGGCCGCAAGTGCAGATCCCCTCTATGCTGGGCTGAGGTGGGTGACACGCAGCTGGTCAAGGGACAAGTCCCTGACAGCACTCTCACTGGTCCAGAAATCATCCGCGAAACCACTGAAAAGATCGTACAAATCCGAGAACGACTTAAGGCCTCCCGAGATAGACAAAAGAGCTACGCCGATAAACGACGAAAACCCTTGGAATTCCAGGTTGGAGACCGTGTCTTGTTGAAAGTCTCACCCTGGAAGGGCATGATACGCTTCAGAAAGCGTGGAAAACTTAACCCAAGGTACATAGGACCTTTCGAAATCCTGGCAAGGATTGGTCCCGTAGCTTACAAACTCCATTTACCTCATGAACTTAGCAATATTCACCCTGTCTTCCACGTTTCAAACCTTAAAAAATGTCTTTCTGATGAGACCCTTGTGATTCCTTTGGATGAAATCGAAATCAACGAAAACCTGAACTTTGTGGAAGAGCCCATCGAAATCATGGATAGAGAGATCAAACGAACGAAACAAAGCCGCATCCCGATAGTGAAGGTTCGCTGGAATGCCAAGCGGGGACCCGAATTCACTTGGGAACGCGAAGACTTGATGAAAACGAAATACCCGCATCTCTTTCCAATTCCATGATTTGTATCTAAATTCTAAATTTCGGGACGAAATTTCCTCTAACAGGGGGATAATGTGACAACCCGAAAGATATTCCGTTAACGTAGCCCATTCCGTTAATAAAAATTATTTTATTTTGGGTTTTCCGTTAACTTTCAAATTAAATAATTCATTTAGAATTATTATTATAATTTCCTATGTGTCGAAACGAAATATTTAATTGAGTGAAAACACTCTAAATAATCTTTTGAGAATTCCTAGACTACGACTAATACGGGTAATGGTCATTTACCCGGGTAAAATATTAAGCTCCGTTTAATGTCCGTATTGGGTGTATTCCCACCGGGTCACTAACTCTAGTCATACATAAAAGGGTGGAGTGACCACCATTTGAACTTTTCCCACACTTCAAGTTTCTCTCTCTACTCTCTCTCTAGAAATCGAACTCTCTCAAGGATCTTCACTTTCAAGCTCCAAATTTGTAAGTGATCCTTCCTAACTAGTTGTTTATCCTATCATGCATGCAAATCTATGTTTGAAACTCTCAACTTCATCAACAACTCGTATTTACGGTTTTGGGGAGCCTCCCAAGGACCGTAAACTCCTTCAATGGGGTTTTGAAGCCCCAAGACCCTTCCAAACCTCTCCTAATGCTTAGATCCTTACATGCATGGAGTTAGAACCACAAGATCATGAGTTTTCGGCCATAAACATGAGTTTACGGTCCTTGAATATTCAAGAACCGTAAACACCCTTTCAAAGGGTTTTGACGCTCCTTAACCCTCCCAATGCATGTTTAATGGCCTTGAAACTTGTTTGAATGATCTTAGAACCTTAAAACGTGTCCAAAGAAGTGTAAACATGAGTTTACGGTTTAGGAACGTCTCCCAAAACCGTAAACACCTTCCAAAGGTGTTTTTATGCTCCAAACACTTTGCATGGCTTGTATTTGAGTCTAGAACTTGCATGAATGGCCTACAAACCACCAAAACACATGGGAAATGGACAAACATGGACAAGGGTGGTTTACGGCCGTAAACCCATGAGTTTACGACCGTAAACTCCCCAAGGGTGGTTTACGGCCGTAAACCCATGAGTTTACGACCGTAAACTCCCCAAGGGTGGTCCAAGGACCGTAAACCCTAATTCCTAGGCCATTTCATGTCCCGATCACTTCCTAAGCCATTGAATCAACCTTAGAACCTTCCCGTGTGCAAGATAAGGACATCGATCAACCAAAAACACTATACCCATGAGTTTACGGCCGTAAACTCATGGGGGATGTGGTCTAGAAACCGTAAACTCCCCTAAGGGTTTACACTTGAAGAGTAAACACCTTATCTAGGCCCCACACTCCTTAGGTGCAACCCGTACCATCCCTAACACTTGAATTGAAGTGTTTTCGTGCCTTGGAGTGTATTGTCCTACTATCTTGGTAAATCAAAGTCTAATTAGATACAATTATGTATCTCTTCATGTTACCTAGGAACCTCACGCGTGTGCAAGCCCTAAACGAATACTTAGCATCTAAATCAGCACATTCTCGTCAGGTGAGTTCATACCCCTACACCATTTTTTGTGTTTTTCATGTTTTCAGGGGGGGAATACAAGCAAAAGTACAAGGAAACTTGTACTCAAAACTATTATTTCGAACAACATAACTATGTGTTCAATATGTTCTAAACATTGAAAATCCGTTTTAACCAACCGTCTAACTCGTGGAGTTAGTTTACAAAACCATTTGTGAAACTCATTATAAAATGTTACATTTTTACATTTCACAAGGATTTCATGTCATTTCATAAACCGGGATTTTTAATACTATTACTTGTAAAGTTCATTATTCTTATGATTGGAGACACGTCCTCGGTAACACTCCACAACGGATACGAGAGTGGAGGACTACTCCCGTAACCAGAATCTCTTGGAGGGAGAGCGTGACTTGAGTGTATAGATCTATACGGGACTGACTATCCCGCACCCTGCTGCTAGCTACAGTTGGATCGTCAGGTCCATGGGTGACAAAAGTCATAAAACGACGATGGACTCCTTATTGCCATGTCTAGTCTATTGTATGGTTATGGAACTCGCAACTTAGATAATGGAATTTTACTGATAAAGTAATAACAAACCTAGTGAACTAACCTTCTAGTAATAACTGTCTTTGATTACTACCAGTTCACTACTTACTTATTAGTTTTGTGTACGTGTCAAAACTAATATGCTTACTACGGGATACTAGTCATTCAGTATGTTTCACTTAATCGATACAAGTATGGTAGATACTTGTACACATCATTTCAGAATCGATAACCAACGAATGTTTACATAAGAAAACATAGGGTTTTCTTGGGATAACGAAACTTTTCATAAACAAGGTTGTTTGGTACATCTAACGAGATTTCAATCCATATTTTCATAAGGAAACTTGCAGGGTTTTCTAAATTCAAATTGTGTAACAAAGGGATAACCAAACTACATTTATAAGAAAATACGGGATTTTCTTGGATATCAACTTTTCATGAAACTAAAGGAAACTGAATCTTTTTCCAGAAAACAAACCGCTTATGAACTCACCAGCTTTATGCTGATATTTTAAAACTGCTTGTATTCTCAGGGCATCCATAGACAGGTACTCCTATTAACTTTTGAGAAGACGGAGCACACAGAAGACTCGTCTTTAATTTGATCTAACCAATGTATCTAAGAAAACTTGTAGTACTTTATTTTCAAACAAATGTACAACTTTCTTATGTAATGTAATGGTTGTGTTTACTATGCTTGCTATGTACATTGGTTGTGATACTCTACATGACGTCACATCCGCCCCGGAACGTTTCCGCCATCGGTTTCGGGGTGTGACAGATATATATATATATATAATTATATATATATATATATATATATATATAGATATATATATATATATATATAGTATATACTAAGAAAAATTGGGCCCTATGAAGCTACCCACTTTGCCGCCCTACCCCCACCCTCAATGCCCCCTATGTGGCTTATGTATTGGATACCAAAGAGGACAATGGATGATGTGCCGATTGTTTGAGATTATTCTGATGCATTCCCAAAGCATTTACCTGTGGTGCCTTCGGAGAGGCAGTTTGAGTTATGTATTGATTTGGTTCCTGGTGGACCTCCGATAGGCAAGGCACCTTATCGGTTAGCACCGTTGGAGATTCAGGAGTTGTCTTAATAGCTACAGGAGCTATTAGAAAATGGCTTTATTAGTCCGAGTAGTTCACCATGGGGAGCACCGATACTGTTTTTGAAGAAGAAATACGGCTCCCACAGGATGTGCATCGACTACAAGGAGCTGAACAAGTTAACGGTGAAGACCAGGTTGACGAAGAAGCCGGCTATTTTTTGTTGGGGGCCTGAGCAACAGGCGTTGTTTGAGACTTTGAGGCATAAGTTATGTGAGTCTCTGATCCTGACCTTACCAGAGGGTGTGGATGAGTTTGTGGTAGTTTGCGGTGCGTTGATTTTGGGATTGGGTGCGGTATGGATGATAAGGGGTCATTTTATAGATTATGCTTCAAGCCAGCTAAAGCCCGATGAGGCAAACTATCCCACCCATGATTTGGAGCTGGGGGCGGTGGTTTTTGCCCTCAAAATTTGGTGTTATTACTTGTATGGGGTTCATTGTATCATTTACACGGACCACAAGAATTTTAGGTATTTGATGGATCAGCCAAATCTGAATATGAGGCAACACAGGTGACTTCATGTGTTACAGGATTATGATCGGGAGATCCTTCATCACCCTAGGAAGGCCAACATGGTGGCTGATGCTCTTAGCCACAAGACGGCAGGTACCCCTATCAAGGATTTGTGATTGAGGATGACAGAAATACAAAATAACATTTTAGCTGCTCTCCTCATTTCATGTTCATACAAGCATCCCTAGTTCTCATTCATATAAAACATTATTCAAAACAATAAAAAATATCAAATACCAAATGTTACCAAGATATTCAAAAACATCAAATACCAAAGGTTAACTTCATATTACCTCTAATTTTCAATTTCCCATCATATTTTGCAAGACTGCTTACATCTTCTCCATTGCTTCATATTTTTGCATCAATTTGCTGTTGTGTGGCGTCTATTGTTGCAGCTTTGGAATCCATTTCCTCACGTATTTGTCGATGGTAAGCTTTCATTTTTGCAACTTTTGCATCCATTTCTCCATGCATCTCGTTTCTTACACGTTCATAGACACCCTAAAGTACAATACCGTGATAGGAAACTTTGTAAGTATAATGCCATGATAGGAAACTTTGTAAGTTCAATGCCATGATAGGAAACTTTGTAAGTACAATGCCATAAGAGGAAACTTTGTAAGTACAATACCATGATAAGAAACTTTGTAAGTATAATGCCACGATAGGAAACTTTGTGATAGAAAATTTTAATAAAGTAGAAAATTAAACGAACCTCTTTGGATGTTATTGTACTGGATGTTCTTTTCAAAAAGCTCACTGGATCAGACACATATCCGAATCCATATATTCTTCCTTTCTTGACTCCTCTAGAAACATCACACCATGTTTCATTATCCAAGAGGGGGTGGCAACTAGTATCATCATCATACTTACCCACTATAGCACTTTCATAAGCCTACTATTATAGCAAAACAGGAAAAAAACACGAAAAACAGAAACATTATTTAATTTTCAATCATCTATGGGAATGAATGGAATGGTTCATTCCATTCCATTACAATCATAACCGAGGAATGGGATGAACAATTTCATAAGCCTCCCATTAATTAATACTATGTTATTCACTAATTGAAACTCAAATTATAATCTTCTTTAAAATAATCATATTTTTTTATTTGTTTTTATAAATAATCAATGATAAACCATTTTCTTGATTCTCATCTAATCAAACCTTGAATAAAGTTGATTACTTCTTACAAAATACTTAATTACAATTAAAAATCATAATTTTTTCTTTTTCTTTTCTATTCTTCCTAGTTATAATAAATGAAAGTACATTGCTATTTCTAGAAAGCAATGTACACAAGATTTGTTTTCTTTCAATTGGTAGCCTTAAGTAATTGAGTAATCTGAGTGGTGGGATATTTTGGACGACTAACCATAGCTTCTCGAGCTAAGTGGATAACAAGATGCTCCATTAAGTTAAAGAATCCACGTAGAAACATTTTTTCTAACTTGCAAATGGTTTCAACAATTGTAGTTTAATTGACATAATGACTAGCTACAACCAAATATATAACTACTATTCAGAAGATATCTAATGACTAGCTACAACCAAGTATAATGAGTTTAATTGGGGAATAAAGTAAAATTATACAAGTTTAATTGATTTATTTTGGCAAAACATTCAATTGATTCAATTAGTGTCATGCTCAGACCTGCCAAAAAAGTTGAATGCAAAAAGAAAAAAGTTAAAGTAAGTCTCATCTGATTTACAGTTCTTTTATAAGTTCATGTATCTTTCTGAAATCGTGTTATTTTGTATGAACTAACCAATGCAACGTAAAGATCCATGTATTGTTGTCCAGGGATAAAATGGTCAGCAAAAATAACATCCAATGCATTTCAATTTTGATCATAATGAAAAATATTATGTGTGATTTTGTGAATGAATTTGTTGCCTATAAGATTTTTTAATATTGAATGTTCTAGTTATCTTATAATCTAGTATCATTTTTTTTGTTCTTTTATTTTGTAATCAGATCCAGTTAACTTTTTTTCTTATCACTTGTGAAATCATACCTCCTTATTGATAGAACAAGCATGTAGGAACTTATAAAAAGTCACAAACCAATAAAAAAAATTATTAAACCATACTAATTTTCCCGCAAAACAATCAAACAACTAAAATATATACCAAATCTCAAACCAAATAAATATTTGACAAAACTATTATAAGAATTAAGTGTAGAATGTGAAGAAGGGACGTGTAAGAGGATAAAAAAATAATCACACCTGATACAGTTAGAAGAAACCAAAGGAGAACAAAGGCTCAATAGTTGCTTCTCTCTTGAACTCTGGCTAAAACAAGACCAGAACTTCTTCACTCCCACCTCCTATTTAAGAAATAAGTTAAATAAATAAGAAGAAATAAACATAATGTAAGGCACATATAAAAATAGAAGCAAAACATAAAAGTTTTGCTTTTTTGAGCTTTTTTGGATTATCATCTACAAGTATGAAACCAATAGTTTAAAAAGATAAAATTAATCATCCTTTTTTGGCATTTTTTGACCTCTATGTTAATTACCAAACGACTAAGGTAAGAATGCAGTGCTCTTGACCCTTGTAGCTATAGTTAGGAAGGGCAATAAGGTCTTTTCCATAATTTTTATTCTTTTTATGTGGATCAGGTGTAGACTTTGTAGACTTTGGTGATATAATATATGTTCTAAGAGCTAGGAATGTTGGAAGACAAAGTAAACCTAGTACCGGTTCTTAAAGTTAAATTATAGATTAGATGAAAGTTCTTATTTCCTTTTTAAGAAAGTTCCAATCTTGTTGTTGCATTGTTTACTTATATAGGAAGAGATAGATGTGACAATGGAAGAGAATATGTATCTTTGTACACAGAACAAAGCTCGTGCAAAAAAAAAAGCAATAGTCATGTTAATATGAACTATTTGAACATAAATAAGAATATGCACACATAAAAAATGGACTATACAAAAAATCAACCAAAAACAGGGAATACACAATAGTCTAATAACAGCAAATGAGGATTAGGAATTTTCCTTTGTGCCTTTGGGTTTATGGTTAAAATATTGTTTTCTTCCTTGTATGAATTGACCAATTACACAAATTACAAAATATTATGGATTTTGGAAAATAACATCCCCTGTGAGTTTTTTGCATTTCAATTTTGATCAGAATGCAAAATATTATAGATTTTGTAATATGTTTAATAAAAATAAGAAATTGAAATAAGTACATGTTGCATTGCATTTATAATACTTTATAATATGAGGATGTAATAGAATCATACCGGTTTGACTTTTAATGGGGTTCGATGTTTAACTTTTTTTTTTTTGTTAATTTGTAAAATGTTTATAAGAATTAAATGTAGAATGTGAAAAATTGACGTGTAAGAGGATCTTCTCTTTTGATGTTTAAAGGAAAGAAAAAAGATAAGGGTGGCATTGAAAGGACGTTATGTGGTTCCATGGGTAGTTTTGCGATAAGTGTTGATATAAGATTCCAGGGGTAGTTTTGGATATAGAGCGGTTGATTTTTGAATATTTATTTTGTGTTTCTTATGTTTATATTTTGTTATTGTTGTTAGACTAGTACTCATGACTATAAATAGTGAAAGAATGTACCTACTAATTATAAAATTGTAACTATTGAGTGCATATAAATTATAAAAAATAATCACACCTGATGTAGAAAGAAGAAAACAGAGGAAAATAGAGGCTCAATAGTTGCTTCTCTCTTTAACAGAGGACATAGACCAGATCTTCTTCACTCATACCTCATGTTTAAGAAATATTTTAATTATATATGAACTACTTTTTTATTTATGATACTATTGATGATGCAAAACATATTTCAGACTTTTAATATTTATAAACAATTAATCATACATGTAATTACTCAACAGGTGTGATGTATTTGTTTGGAAAAGTATGAAAACAATGATGAATTGAGGAAGTTGATGTGTAGAAACTTCTTTCATAATGATTATGTTGAAAAATAGTTAAATATTAATGCTTCATCTCCTCTTTGTAAGAGTGAAGTTGGGGAGAGTGCTATGAATTCATTAGCAGAATCAACAACTGATGGTATACTTTTGAGATGTTAATATCATGACATGTGCTTCTTCTGATATGTTAATATCATGTGCCATTTGCACACTTTCAACTATCTACATAGATAAATATGATTGGAAGATCTACTGAAATTATGTTTTTGGAAAGATCTAACTTGCTCCTAAACTCATAACAACCAACATGCAAATTTAAATTGTCTTTAAGCTAACCTAATTGCTCCCCACTATCCCTAGCCATTGACATTGGCCATGAACATGAACATTAACAACACCACAAAAATTATTTTCTCAATATATACCATTTAACACCAAACAAACCCTTTAACTTAAAATGAACATAAAAATTGGTGATTAATGTTGATATGATGCTGAAATCACATACTTGACAGTTGACAATACCATTACATCTATGCATTAGGTCTCCTAAAATTTGAGGAGGTTTCATTGTGTCGAACGAGAGTTCTATCATTATGAGCACCTCATAAAATCCCCTAGAATAGTAAATTGTACTTAAATGGAGAGCTGTTTTGTCATTTGGACTTTCTGGGTCGAATGTTGGTTTTCCAAAAGTGCAATTTTGTCTTCCAATATGATATTTTTAACTTTACAATAAGCTTACATGTGCCTTATTTAAAATCCATAATAGTAACGTAACTAAAACCCTTAACAACAACCACTGATTTATAGAATGTTCGTTAGTTAGGTTCATTTAGGTGTTTTACATGACATAAATCAAATCTTTTGCTACATTCATTTTACGTTTTGCGTGATACAAACTATGAGTTACATGAAAAAGCTTGTGGAATGTACAAAAAGGTTTCATATGTGCAAGAAAATAGAAAATAGTCCAAGAAAGCTGCAGGAAAAATGTCTATAAATAGGCTTATGTATGTGAATGACTGCAATTACAGACAAAATGTCTATAAATAATGGAAACCTTATAAAAAGGTTTTGAAAATGTCTATAAATAGGCGAAACATTTTTTCTATTCAACTACCAACAAAGATGAGCTATTTTGTCAATCTGGTGATGAAATATGTTTCAAAGACATTTTATTTACCATAAGCATCAAATGATCAAATGAGATACAAATAATGACCAACTTGATTATGATTGTGATGATAAACGAGCTATATATCTTGTATTGTCTCAAAATACAAAGTAGCAAAATATATCAAATGATCTCCAAGATATATACAACATGAAATTATAGCACACGACAATGAATTTGTATGTTTAAAAACTTCAACGCATTATAATATTGATAAATTGTTCATTTTTATAATAGTTTTTTGTAAGTAAATAACATTAGAGTAATTATTTAAGTAACTAGGAAACTAACATCACAATTATTACATACATAAAGAAATCGAAAATGTCATTAAAAAATAGAAACTATAATTTTTCCAAAAAGAACAAACATTTGAAATACTAACTTATCAGTTAAGATTGAATCCCCCACTCGACCGAATGGATAAGAACTAATATTACTTCATCATTTTTCTCTCTCATGTAGTGTGTGTGACTAATGTATTTTTCATAATTTTCAATAAAGAGTTTTGGAGCAAATACATTAATTAATCACCAACAATTAATTGACAACATAAGAGTTTTCATACATTAGTTAATAACAAACAATTAATTGACAACATAAGAGTTTTCATACCTATCTTTTTCTCTTAAAAGTAAACGATGAAAAAGAAACATGACTAGAAACATAGAAAGAAAATAAAAGTAAATCAATCATCATATTGAAGTCTTAAAATAAAAAATAACGAGTAGACTAAACCCAAAACGCATAGCCAGTACAATTTACAGGAGGAAGCAGCATTTGCATAAATCGAATCACCATGTACATAGTCTGATTTTAAGATTAAAAAAAGAATCAATCTTAACTCATAAGGATATTATTGTACTTAAAAAGACAAGAGTTCAAAGTAGCCGATTCGGATACTAACCTAACACCCTGAGTCCCTGACACCTTCTAAACAATGAATAAGGGTCAAAGTGATGTTGTTAAAAATAAATCGGAAAGGGGTTTCGTCGTGGTGGTGGAGGGTATCGATGAAAAGATTTCGCACCGATTTTTCCAATTCATGGAGATTATTCCCTTAAAAGTGTTTTATGATATTGTCTCCACGTAAGCGTTGATCCGGTCAAATATGTACATGTGACATTTCTACGAGAAGATTTAGGTTAAAGGGACTAAAACGGCAGGTCACAACCCACCTTATGCCCCTATAAAGCAACATAAATACTTTTGGGACTAAATGTACCGACCCTAGAAACTTTATTGGGATTTGTTTCATTTCCCCGATATTAAATTATGATGAAAAGATGGGGTTTTTTCTCCTTTATTTTAATAAAAATTTTAATCTCGCAAAACCAATGTGGTTC